CCCACACACTATGTAGAGACCCGTAGGTTTGAATCAAGTGGCAGCCTCCTGTGATGAATAATGAAGCTAACGTGGAGGTTCAAAATCCTGCAGAAGCACCGGAAGACACATGCACACCCATTCAAAAAAAGCCTGTTTTTACAGCAGAATTTGAAGATGTTTACAGCCTTGTTCAAGTTTTGGGAAAAATTTTAAACATATGTATATATAACTTTTGGATACTTCCTCAGACATAACAGTCAGACAGGTGTGCTTAAACCATCCAAACAGCATGGGTGAGGTCTGGTTAAAAAAAAAAAAGAAGGGTAGTGGCGGGACAGCAGTAAATCTGCCAGCCAGCCTTGGCTAATGTCAGCCTGACGGAGGCTCCAAACCAGTGGGGTGGGATGTTCCGCTACAACCCTCTGCCCTATGGTCTACCGTCATAATTAATATGTTGTTGTATCAAAGTTGAAGCGTTTGCCTCCGAAATGTCCCATGCCCAGCCATCTTATTAAAGACCTGACCTCCAAGCAGCTGAAGGTTGCTCTGCAAACTTGGCACACCCCCGAGTGAAAACATCTGCTTTCCTCACAGGCAGGACCGCCGCGGACCCCACGTCTCAGCTGGTTCCCACAGCTCGGCGAGAGAGCACTTCCCCTGTCCTCACGCGCTGACCCCCACATTTATAACCCCGCCCCCGCCCCCGCCTCCACCTCCGCTGAGACCTCCTCAAGCCTTGGGCTCAGGTCCTGGACCTCTCCATCACCTCAGCCCCTCCACCCTGTCCACGTGTAGAACTGTGCCAGTGTGGTCACTTTACTGCTGAGAGGACTGCTCCTGTCTTGTTATCCCCACATCACAGCCTGTCGAGAGGAAAGGGGGGAGGGATGGAGGGATGAGATGGAAAAGGAAAGCATGCAGGGAGGGAGAGGGGCAGGGGGAGGAGGCATCTGCGCTTCTCCCACAAAGCGGCGACTGTTGGAACGCTGACAGAAGCATCTGTCATCCCCTGCCTTCACACACTCACCTGCTGTCCGAGGGCCCGACTCTTTTTATCTTCCTCGTTTGCTCCCTCCCACTTTTTTGCCCTCGCCACGGCCTCTCCGAGCTGCCTTTGTGATTCTATGAAGCTCTTGAACGCCTCCTTTTGAAATATAAGGAACTGTACCATCTCTCATGCACCTTTAATGAGGGAACATGATCAATTCTATTGTAAAGTTTTTTTTCGTCAAATGGCCAAATAAAACAGGATATTTGTAACCATCAATAGAAAGCTAAAGCCTTTACAGAGTTCTTTAGGCGCATTGACTCCGAACATCATCAATGCAGAATAACTTTGCCAAATTTGTGCCAAATGGAGCGGTATTTATGAACAAATATTGCCATGGTGTTAATGAATGTACTGACCTGTCTTGCGACTACTTTATCATTCTTCAGTGGCACCCCCGTCCATTCCCCTAACATGCTGAAGGGTTGCCAGCAGCAAGGGGGAAAGATGCCAATCCATGTGTACGACACACACACACGTAAAAAAAAACCCACACATGCTCAAGGACACCATCGCTCACTCAAGGTGCCCTTCAGGTGATGCCACACAGCGGTGTGAACGTAAAATCACTGATTCTGCACAAAGTTTGATGCAGAGAAACTTGTCTTAGAGCTTAACTCTAATTCTAAAGATGCAGGAGGATGCCAGATGTGGTTACTAACATAACAATTACTTACATCATTTTCTTTTTCTATCTCTTGTAAGGACTTTTTGAGGAGTTCTTTCTTTATAATAAGGAGGGGTAGATTTTGATCTAAAGCACAGAGTTTGGGATTTTAGGTCATATTATTAATTTATTTGCAACATTTCTGTGTAATGTCATTCAAATAACTGCTTATCTTAATGTGTGGATTAAATGGAAGCATTCATTTATTTGCTTATACTTCAAGTTGCGGTTACCTGCACAGACCTGACCTTGAAATCATTTTAAAAGCATATTTATATTAGAAATGACTAGAAATTTAGAGACGATAGTTTTTCTCAATTTTTTGGCTTATCAGTTCAAACCGCCTGCCTGCAGGGAGATGTTTTAAAGAAATTAAAGGAATTGGAGAACAGAAATCCTGTGTCTCTGTCCTCTAATCTGTTCATTTATCAACATAACCAGTGATGGAAGAAGTCTTTACACCCTCTGACTGGATAGTAGTTTAAAACACTAAATTAAAGGGACATTCTTTTTTTAAATTCAGTTTAAAGTCGATAAGTATCATCAGCAAGATGTGCAGTAATTCTGAAGTGAAAGAGAACCTGAAAAACTGACTGGTTGAATACTTATCATCATTGGTTTATAAAATCTTTATTTGTAAAATAACTGGTAACTGGTAAAAATGTCTAAAAATGTTGTTGTATAAAGAAGACAAAATTTGCACTGTTTGACATATTTGCAGGCTTTCGTGTAGTCTTGTTGTTGTTTTTTGTGGACTTATTTTGTGCAGACATCGGTAGTTAATTTCAAATGGATAAGGACAATAAAGCATCTATCCATCTTTTTCCTGTTGATATGCAATTAATAGGAGGTATTTTTGTTTCAATTAATTGAGTTATCTACTTGATCACATGAACCCATTTACTTTCCATCACTACAAACAACTTAAGAGTTTTCCCAAACACAAAAAAACTCCATTAATAAAAGAGACATGATTGCAGAATGCAAAAACATAAATCTCTACTATACTATCAGTATTAAAGTGTTATTGATCTTGTAAGGCAAACTCTCCTGAAGTTGGAGTGCTCCTACTCTGGCTTGTCTCTTTGATTTCCAGAGCATAATTAAAGTAAGAAGGTGATTTTGAATGGCTCTTGTCATACATAAAGTTCCTTCTCTCGGTGCGTGAGCGAGTACGCTGCAAAGAAGAGAGGCAGGTTAACAAATGAGTGAGGAAGGGTAGCAGGACTTTGTGGCCCTCTGAGACAGAGTGGACTGGGATGTTCTGCCAACACCTCGTCTGCCAGGGTTAAGGATACACACACTCAAGCACACACACACACACACACACACACACACACACACACACACACACACACACACACACAAACAGACAGACACTGTCATCTTTCTGTAGCTCCATCCAATGGCCTCTGTTACGACCGCGTGTCTGAGCAGGAACCCCACTAAGCTGGCTGGGGTCCAACACCAAGGTCTCTCACCTGGCAGGCTGGGCAGGGGGCCGGGTAGCTCCTGTGAGTTATTCCTGGAGCTGGACCCTGGTTCCACCTCTCTCATCTCCTTTTTTTCTCCTCCACTCTCCTCTGGCCCAGCCTGGCCTCCTCTCCTCCCTAAACCCCCTCTGTGGGACCCTGTGGCTGATGAGCCTGTCCTTCAACTATCAGCATCTTCTATTGTCTTAAACACACACACACACACATATGGACACACACACGGCAGACTAGGATTTATGTAAGCTTGCTAGTGTATCTGTGTGGCCACAAATGATGAGGTCACCTTCATATACTTCCACCATCTGCAGTTTATTTAGACGTGTACAGCACTTCCCTGCCTGGTGGCTGACTTATGAAAGTTTTCATTACTAACTTAATGATGAGGATGATGATGGTCTCGATATTATTGATGATGATGATGATGGTAATGACGATGGTTTTTGTTTGATAACGACGACTTATAAGATGGTTTCTATACTGATTAGCGCTCTCAAGAACTGCCATCAATGTTGTGCTTTGCCTCTGGTCACTTCCTGTCAGCACCTGTGTGTCCAATCAGACTCAAAGCTGATCGTTTGCTCTTTCTGACATTGTTCCCTTTTTCTCTAGATTCTTGCTTGTGTTGCTCTTACTCTCTGATGTACGTCGCTTTGGATAAAAGCGTCTGCTAAGTGAATTGTAGAATTCTGTAGCCTTTTTGTTAACCCTGAAGTTTGTTTTTTTTTACATCTTAAAAAACTCGTAGAAATAGATAAACACTTAGGATTAGGATGTACACTAAAAAACGAAAAATGTGCTGCTTTCTGTGTTAAAAAAAACACATGTTTTTCTTTTAAAGGTAGATGTTGGATGAAAAGATCTGTCAAAGAAATACCACAAGTTATGCAGCATAAGAATAGAAAAGTTCCAGTCCAGTCGTAGAAGCTTTAAAATGTTTTTTAAAACCTTTGCGAGACTACCTTTAACTGCTGCCCACACTGCAAATGTAATGCCTGATCTTGCCACCAGAGGTCACTGAAGGACAACATTATTAAGTCAGGTGGTAAACACAGTATCAAACATATCCTATGTCCGAATTAGGCCCACAAATTTGTACAACAGACTTATACAGGATTTTCAACTATTGAAACACTCATAGGTTGATATTTATTTTAATGTTTGAAGAATAATTGAGATTTAAGTGTGACAAAGGAAAGGGAACAATTTAAATTTCTTCTTTTCCCTTTTATTCACGGATAATCACTGAAATGAGACCACATCAGACAGAAGAGGCTACACACAGGCCTGCTCCAGCATCTGAGTGACAGCCTCAGCATCAGTACCAAACAAGGGAGAGGAACAGCTGCAGAGCTCCCACTCTGATCATATTTTCATGTACCAAGAACATCCGAGATTTAAATCTAACTTGTGAAACAGCAGTGTCTAGTTTTAGAGAACGGTTGTCATTTTTACATTATCCGAGTTATCTTAAATGCTATTGAAATTTAACAGTTTTTAATCTATTTGTAAATTATGTGGCAAGTGCGCGTGCGTGGAAGTTGACGCCCACTTTTTTTACAGAAACGTCCGTCTAATCAAATGTCTGCTCAGACGATCTTTGAAGCATGAAGTTGCTCGGCAGGGACACTTTCCAAAAATAGCTCTATCTAAAACAAATTATAAACCCACTTCAATTCCAAAAGCAACCCGCATTTAATTCAAATTTTAATGAAAGCTTTCCAATCTGTTCCTGATAATAATAATAAAAACAAAATCAACATATTTACCGTCATGTAAGCAGGACCGACTCCCCCGCTCTGACATGTAATGGTACAGTCCGTCGACGTCCTGCGCGGGAGCGGAAAACGTGCTTGTGACTGTGTTTTCCTGGTTAAAAAAAAAAAAAGTGTTGTTCATCATCTCTTCACTGGAATACAACGAAAACATTGGCCTTTTTAAAACACGTCTGAACTAATTAGAGGTCAGTAAAGCAAACGCAGTTGTAGTTTCGATAGCATTCAGCGGCTACACGGAAGCTAACATGAGTATTAGTTGGAAGAGGCGGTGCTGCCTCTGCTTACATCTTGTGCACGCTTGTTAACTTCGCTTTGAGGGGGTGCCAAGTGTATGTGTTAGAGTTGCAAGAGTATATTCTGTGTTTATGTGTTACAAAGGATTGTTTTTGTCGGATTGTAAGTCACTGTCATGTCAGAATAAAGCTTGTTGGTAGTGGGAGGGGCACTGAATGAACGTGTACACCATTAATATGAAGAAGTTGATTCCCCTCAAAGTTGTACATTTCTCGTGGAAAACGTGCACGATACTTTTATGTCATTGTGTTCTTTTTTTTTTTACAGCTTGGTAAAACATTCAGCATGGCTAGAGATTGGAAACCCGGTGATCTGATCTTTGCCAAGATGAAGGGATATCCACATTGGCCTGCAAGAGTAAGTTTAGGCCCATTTTTTGACTGCAACTTAAATGTAGTCTGCTTCACATTGACATGCAAACACCAAAACCTCCAAGTAGTTTCTCCTTTGTGGTGACATTTTGTTGTTTTCACCTCCAAGTTAATATCTTTTTTTTGTTTTTCTCTTTACTGGTCTACCAGATCGATGAAGTCCCTGACGGAGCTGTGAAACCATCCAATATCAAGTTGCCCATCTTCTTCTTTGGCACCCATGAAACGTGAGTAAACCAATTGTGTTAATCTTGATTTGTTACACTTTGATGGGTAAACATTGTATCTATTTAGTGAGGAAGTAGCTGCCTTTTAATGATTCTTTAATGAGTAGTTCAGGGGATGCAGGGATACTTATATCCATTGTTATACGGTATGGTAGAAATGATTAAGAGGTGATATTGCTGAAGTTTGAAAAATGGTGTGAAAAACAACAACAACATTGCACTGAATTTAAGTTGTTCACACACACGTTATAAGACACCTGCCCTCCATAATAAAGGACCAATCTGTAAGATATCTACTGATATCAAATCTTTAAATGACCGTACTATCTGATCAGACATTAAGGGCACATGCTATGTTGAAGTGCTGGCTTCTCTGTCAACAATGCAGCAGTCAGTATGTCCTCCTGAGTTTACATTCAGGTCCATAACGGTCTGCATTTGATTTCACCGTAGAAGGTAGGCGGTTTGAAGGCACCCCCGCACAGCTGTTTTGGACGCTCCTCGGTTTGCCAGGATAATGGCAAATAAACATTTGTTGCAGTGATGGAAGCGGAAAAGCGAAATAATTCAGATATAACTGATTCTACCCGACCCAAAAAGCCTCGGCATTTTTCTAATAAGCTCCACGACCAGAAACGTGTTAAGATGCTATTGAAAAATGGAGAGTGGTTAGTCCGCAGAAAGGCGCCAAGACGGATGCAGAGCTGGCTAAACGCTGAAGCTTCTGTGAACGCGACATGGCAACCTGTTGTGCACATCGACTTTAGGGAGGAGGGGGGGGCGGGGCTACCTGTCGGAGTTACATAGTGTTCCTTTAAAGTATAGCGAGTGATATTAAATGTCTTCAGGGGAATTACTTTGAAGTGCTTCTTTACAAGTTTTAAGAGCTTATAAAATAAAATACAAAATTCCATCTACCCCATTTAAATACTTTAGCTGTCCTTGTTTGCCATTTCAAGTGTTTCTTTCCACATGTGAATATTTGATGTTCAGAGGTGTCAAGTTTCTTTTCTGTTTTGTCTGCATTTCTCACAGTGAAAACAAACTGCATTTTTAATGCTTCAGAAAGTATTCAGCATTTTTTTCTTTTCTTTTCACACAGAGCATTTCTTGGCCCAAAAGATATCTTTCCATACCTGCCAAACAAAGAGAAGTATGCCAAGCCCAACAAGAGGAAAGGCTTCAATGAAGGATTGTGGGAGATTGAAAACAACCCAAAGGTTGAGCTCACTGCTCCCAAGGTACAGCTTCATCCCCTTTGTGTCCACTGAAGACATTTTCACGGTATCATTGGAGCTTCCTGGATATTATGTTTTTGGTACAATCTGTTTCTTTTAATCAATGAATTGTTCATTTGAAGCCTGTCCCTCCTGAGTCTTTCACTGGAAAGGATTCGGACAGCAACCCGGAGGGAGAAGAGGAAGCAGACGAAAAGGGGATCAAATCCAAAGTAGGTTTCCAATCTAAATCTCTCTTTTACAAGTTACTGAGAGCCGCTTCACTGCATTGACGTGCTTCTGGTTTGCTGCTGTGTTGTCAGCTTTTTTAATTTTTTTTTTGCTACTCTTCTTCAAATTCTTCTCTAAATTGTGTCTCCTACATATACTTTTATATTGATGGTAGTTTACAGAATGTTTGTGTTATTGAGCTTTAATAGATTAGAAATCTTGTTTGCTAAGAGTAGAGTGTGACACAGAAGGATACTCGCTAACTTTTCTCCCTCATGAGACCCGTTGACCCCACCCCACTGCGTCCTATGCTGTGTCTTGGGTGAATTCAGGTTCCAGGAAGTGAGGCTGAGCAGGAGAATGAGAATGATGATGATGATGAGGAGGAGGAGGAGGAGGAGGAGGAAGGGTCTCTGAAAACTGAGCAGGGTCCTCAGAACCAGGATGTACGTACTTTTGGTACTTTTGCATGTTGGGATTCCTTTAAGCAGCGGAGGTCACCTCAGCCCCTTCCCGTGGGAACGCATGTGACACTTGGTGTTTTTTTTTTGTTTGTTTTTTATCCGGTGGTTTGTTTCTGTTTGACGCTTCTGTTGACGGCACAACCTCGTGATGTTGGTGCTTGTTGGGCCTAGTCTGGGTTTGCTGTGTTAAAGCCACTACGGGGATCCCTTCTTCACGAACCAAACAGTCCCTGTGTTGCTTTTTGAGGTGGATTTAATGATATTGTGGGTGCACAGCTTTCTCTAGTTTTGGAAATGAATTAAAAATAACTGGAAAGTGTGTTTTTTTTTCACCTCTGTCTACTTGTGTTTGTGATTTCTATTTCCTGCATTTTTCCTTTCCACATTTTCACAAAACTACTGTTTTCGGTCAGTTGATTACATTTTATTTTTGCATGGCTTTCTGTGTGCTTTGGAGAAAGGTAAGTCATGATGACTCACTGTAAGTATTTTTCTAATGTTGACATTTCCCCTGCTGCCTCTTGCTTTATTTAACAAGCTACACAAATATCGGTATACTGTATACAATACTGTGGGCCAGTTCACACATATCTTTCTGCAGTGAATAAAACGGCTGCGAATAGCTGCTGCAGATTTAAAATGAACAAAAATAATCAATTTAAATTGCATTCAAAAATTAGTGTGATGACTAATCATGGCCCACATCATTTCTGTCCAATTAAAGCCATTTATCGCTGAGTGTATATAGATCAAAGTAATATAAACATTATAGGGTGTATACAGTGTGTATTTAGTAATGGTTAAGTTAGGACTCATCCTTTTTTACTACACAAACTGTAATGGCACAATAATTCAATAGATGGTGCCTTTGATCAAAAAGAAGGGTAAAAAGGGACCAAAATCATCAAAGGGCTGCTTATATACTGTTTTGTCCACTTCACATTCAATTCAAACCTTCATTTATTCTCGAAAGCACACTGAGATTTCCTTATTTCCAGTGCCACAGTAAAACAAGCAAAAACCACAACAGACACTTTAAACCAATTACAAAAAGCATCGAAATCCATTCAAAACAATCTGAAACAAAGTGGCTAGAAATCAAATTCCTAAACTCTGCAATAGAGGGAAGAACTCTGAATAATCCTTGAATAACTGTTTGAGAGTATTTTGTTCTGTTGTATGTTTGAAATAATTAATAAAAGGTGTCACATTTCTAGGGCTCGGCACAGAAAGAATCCACAGATGCTCCTAAACCCAAGAGAGGAAGAAAGAAAAAGGTTGGTTCAATGTTAATGACTTTTTGTTTGACCTCCAGTGAGTGTATGATCCTAAATGAAGTTAAAAAAGTTTATTTGATTATATTGAATGTTGTTTTTCAGAGTGAAGCTGACCAAGAGATGGAAAAAGAAGATGCTCCTGCAAGTCCTGGTAGTCCCTCAGGTAAGGCAGTGTTCCCTGTGAAGTAAGCCCTCAACATGATGTTAATGGCTTTATGTCTTTTAAGAAGTGAAATAGTAGAAAGATCAACCCTATACCAAACAAGTTATATTTTATATGCAGGGCAACTGAAGGCAAGCACAGATAAACCTGGATTAATATAAACATGCAGTGCATCATTTCTAAGTGTTTTTTTTCAGCTTGTTCTCTTCCTGCACTTTGTGTTTTTATTGTGTTTTTTTTTTGTATGGTGTGTTTTTGTGTCCATGTGAACAGGTGGAGAAGTCCCTAAAAAAAGAGGCAGGAAGCCCAAGAGCGAGAAGATGCTTTTACTGCAGCAGGAGCAGCAAGGCTCAGGAAGTGAAATGTAACTTTAACAAACATGCAACAAAATACACACACACACACACACACACACACAAAATCATCAATGCAGAAATCTCACAGAAGTCTCTTTGCCACAGACTCATTCAAAAGTTCATCAAAAGTTGAAATTCTTCCAATCTGATCACAAGTTTGCCAAATTGCAACGCACAGAACGCAGACAGTAATTGAATTGCTGCGGGTCAAACAGATGTTGAAACCAAAGAAAAGTTGAACTAGATGTGGGATTGACTTGTGGGTGCTTGCAGCTATCGTTGCAACTTTACATAAAGGAGCTGAATGTACTTAGTCTTTCAGAATAACTTCATTTCATCTATTTAGTTTCACTTTTGTGTGGGGTTTTTATATTTCCTGGTTTCCTGGTTTTGTTGATCCATCACACCACTTTAAATATTTTTTGTTTCTGTTGCTATATAAATAAAGTTTATTTAATTAAAGCATTTGTTTCCTGTGATGAAGGGATACTGCTGAGTCCGACAGAAAGAGGAAGAGGGCGACAGAGGACAAGTCCAAGAGTGGAGAGGAGGAGAAGAAGAAGAAGGAGGAGAGCAAAGGAAAGGACGCAGAGGGAAGAGCCTGAAGCCAAGAAGAAGAAGCAGTCCAAGGATGAAGGCTCAACTGGCTCTGACGATGATGAGGCATGTTTCTATAACATTCAAATATCTGTACAGATATTTGAATTGAAATTGAATTCTGTTAGTGACCTTCACAGTCAGTTTGATCCTTTGATGAAAATGGTTTCTTATGATTTCAGAAAAACAAAGGCAGAAAGAAAAACTCAGAAATGGACAAAGATGTGCGGCGGCGGAAAGCAGATGAACTGAGAGAGTACGTATTCAGACAAAGTCCAAAAGTAGTGACATGAACCCCAAATAATGTTTCCACAATGCTTATTATTCTGGTCTGACCACTCGGCTACAATCACAGGCTGTTTATTGTGAAGTGACTTGAACTAGAAGGCTAACATCTGACAGTGATAACCAGAACATAAAGTATCAAAGGTGTTTGAACTCAGTAAATGTCTTGAATATAAAAGAAAAGGACAGAATAAGCTCAGTTTCATCAAGTGGACAAATGAAAAGAAGTCTGAAGTGGTGCGTATTTTTCTTTCTTGCAGGCCAAGTAAAGATGACGGAAAGAAAACGGACGACAAGACAGGAGTCAAGAAAAAGGGTCAGTGCTACAGTTCAAATATTAACATCAAACCGATTTTAAAGGTTTATTTTTGTACTTTTATTGTTGTTCCTTTATTTTGGAGACAGGACAGTGAATAGAGTCAGAAATCAGGGAGAGAGAGAGAGAGTGGGGAATGACGTGCGGGAAAATAGCCACAGGTGGGATTCAAACCCGGGCCGTCAGCTTGGAGGACTATGCCAACGTACAAAATGATGGTCTTAAGACAAAATGTTTTTATTATTTTATTATTAAATAAATGCTTTTCCATTTATAATTTCTTAAGCAATGGCTAAGATGAAGTATGTGTTTTATTGTCCTTATATCACACTGGATTTCACAATGAAATCTGTATGAAAGAAATCGAGTCCGTCCGTTTAACATCTTCAAGAACTACTTTATGTTTGTAGTTCCAGGCAGATAGAAATTCTTCAGGTCACAATTAATCTGATCTCTGTGATTATTAAGAGATATCATATGTGCAACCTCTCGACCTTGAGTGAACCAATTCAACTAGCTCCATCTCTTAACTGGAGCTGATCTGTTTCATAGCAACCCAAATATTCTCCTGCACTCCTTTCTTTGTATCCATGGTTACCACAGACAAGCTGCTTATTTTATGAACATTCATTTGTATGTTTGCATTTAATGCATACAGTGAGTGAACTCAGAACGACTGGCTTAGGTTTAGTAAGGAAAAGTCCCTGTGATGTAATCTTTATCATCACTCGTGGAATGCCCCTCGTCCAATCGGAATACTCGGTCAGAACTACCTGTTGTATAATTAGTTAAATAGTATGACGTTGTATATAGTATAACATATTTCTTTTCTACAGAGATATCTACTGACTCCAAACTCCAGAGACTGCACAGTGACATCAAGATTTCACTGAAGATTGACAACCCTGTAAGTTCTAAGTGCACCAATGTGTCATAACTTTTTCTGTTACACCATCATCAGGAAAGCTTGACGTAAGCCCAAACAGGGCACTGTAAGAATGTCACTGGCTTAGGAAAGAGTATGTGACCAGGTGCATGATTACCATGTCCACATCACCTCCCAGAAGATGATCCTCAGTCCTCAGAATTTACCCTTCATTCATCACCTGTCAGTTAAAGGAGGGATATGTTTTTAAATATGCTTTATTAAGTTGATTGATTGACCCTACTTAAGTCCTGCTGCCCTGCTCAGTGTTTGTAGGTCAGAAAAGCTTTTACGATTCGATTCGATTCAGCTGTTAGCCTCAGTGTGAATTATGTTTAGTCAATGTGGGTCAGGTTAAATCGCTTTATGAAAAACACAGCTAGGAGTACAGCATGTAAAGGATATATTTATAATATAACTTTAAGGAACAATCCATTAAGCAGTAATCAAGGCTAAGACAGTACAGCTTAGACCAGGAGAGAGCCGAACATTCACTGTGTGACATAATGATAAAGACACGCGATGACAGGACTATCAGTCAAACCTGCTCGTGCAGCGCCTGGTATAAGACCCCTTCTTACTCAGACTGCAGTCCTTCAATCCATATTGCCAACACTGTAACATACCACCCCAACGAAACTGACATCCTATTTTTTAGTTTCTTTTGGAATAAACCCAACATGTTTCACACAGTCAATGTGAATGTGTCAGATTGTGCCTGGTACCGATCTTCCTCATTGAAATTCCAGTTAAAAGAGGCGGGACTTGACATGCATCAATTTACCTCATATCTAAGAATTGCTGTATTGAGTATTGTTTTTTGATTTTTTTTGCCTTATCTGTTACCCCCCCTTTCCTCCCACATTTAGGATGTGAAGAAGTGCATGGATGCTTTAGATGAGATCAGCGCGCTTCAAGTCACAACCCAGCACCTGCAGAAACACAGTGAACTTATCGCCACGCTCAAGAAGGTGGACTCAATCACTTCCAAATCCATGAAACCAAACTGGTCTCTCAAAATGAACCGTGAATGTGATGCTAAGCCTTTTGATGTGTGAAGCCTTTTTTTTTTCTGCTTCATGTTGTAGATCCGCAGGTTTAAGGCCAGCCAGGACATCATGGACAAGGCCACCATGCTGTATAACAAGTTTAAGACGATGTTCCTGGTCGGAGAGGGCGACTGTGTGCTCAGCCAGGTGCTCAACAAGTCTATAGCTGAACAACGGCAGCATGAGGAGGCCAAGAAAGGAGCACTGAAGAAAGTAGAACAAGCCAAGGAAAATAACCCAGGTACTGTTTATTATTACTGAACTGTTTAATGAATATATTCAGTGATTCATTGAAAGTTGTTCCAGTTACAATACCTGTATCAGAATGGCCTCAGATGCTGCCTGAATCACCTGATATGTGTTAGAACACCTTCCTGTGCCCAAAACCAATTGGGTAAGAACTATTAATTCTTAATTCTTCTTATGCGATCCAGAAACTGTGCCTGCAGAACAGGTTGTGCTCTACTGTCACCATAGAGATATTGTGGCTGCAATTGAAGAGAGCAGTCAAACTCTCACTTCCCGCTCACCAGAGCAACCACGCCCCCGTTTGGGTGAAAACAAGCCCTGAAAATGTTAGAAAACACTGGTAGCCGTGCGATTAAATGCTATTGCGTAGCTTTTTGTACTTCAGACTATTTAAAATCACAATTTAGTATCCGGTTTTCATCTACAAAGAAGGGTAAAAGAAGAGCTCTGTGTGTTTGGACTGAAACTAGAAGGATTAAAATGTTACATTGTGGGACCGCTGTCGTGTTCCTGCTGGCTTTAAGGCAGTGATCGCTCTGTGAGAGCAGCGAAGTCTGTGACCAGATTTTTTTATTTAAAAGTGAAGATCCCTCTGGGGTAAACCGGTTAATAATTACTCATCAGGTGTGTGATGTCAGTTCATGACTCCTCTGATCACAGCATGTGCTCGTTTGACGGAGAGAGACTGAACAGACGCTAATGCACACCTTTAATTGTGTTTATTTTATAATGTTATGATGCCGATCTCTGTTCACAAAAGTCTTATTTTATATGTTTACATCACTGGTCATCAGATTTAGTCTCATACTCGCCGTTTTAAAGTTCGTTTTGTTTTTCATATTTTAAGCCTTTAAATCGGTAAAGACCCCGACTTTTCCGTTAACCTCCATTCATTCAGATGGGACCGAGAAGAAGAACAGAGTTTCTGTCTTACATACGTACCACATAACATCTCAGACACTTCTCTGGACAGCGCAGTTCTGCTGCTAACATTAGCTCACATGTTTGTAGACGTTCTGATTGTTATAAGGTCGGTTACTGTTTGTAGTCCTGACATCATTAACCATTGGAACTGTGTTTTATTGTTTTATTTAAGTCCTGGATAGCGTAAGAAACCTGGTATATGTTTTTAAGCCCATACTAGAAGGCTGAGTTAAAACAATGTAAAACACTGATTGATTCAATGGTCACCTGTGCAACATGGGACACTCTGCACAAACCTGCCATTTTTATATAACTATACTTTTATAAAAAATCAAGCACTTTTTTCACACAGCCAGGGTAATACAAACGAGGGCAAAAACCATGCAATGGTCTATGTACAAGGTGTACATCTTCTCTGTTTTGTTACCAATGAAAGAGTACAGAGCGAGATGTTATGCAGAAGCTCCATGCTGTCTTCAAAACAATCGGCTAAGAAACTGTACATTAAGATGAAACCGTCTGCTGTGAAAAACATAATTGACCTGTTTTCACAATTGAGGTGAGGCAAGGCATGGCATACAGTTGATATGAGGCCTTGGATTATCTCCAAACACATACAGGCAGGCCATTATTCTTAGCGTACAAATACGATTTGTTCATTTTCTTTTTTTTTGATGAAGTCTGACACATCGCCTTTGAATTTCATTTTTTTACACCAACATAGTTTTCATTTAAGTCTTTGCAATAAGAATGAAAGTAGGCACTTGTGATAAATACTTGTGTTATTATTATTATTATTATATGGCATTCCATGACTAAACTGTATCAACTTTCTAATAGCTCTAACCACGGCACATATACATAGGTGATTATATAATCGTCTGGAGCTCATCAATTATCGTCAGATGTTCTAGGAGTTATTCTCTAACTGTTCAGCTCTTAGTATTTGGGTTTGATTTTCTGTCATTTAAGGTTGCCCTCTTTCTGTTTCACTGGAGCTCCTTGTTTAAACTTTTGAGTTTTGTCCACACGGCTTCATGGTTTATGAGTTCAAGAGTTTATTTCACAGATTTGTTGAACCTTCATTCATCAATGTATTTCTATCAACTTTTGTTAAGTAATAGCAGCTCGCTTCTGTGAATAACAGACGGCATCTCAGGAACTGTTGTGATTTGAGAGTCAAAGGAGCAATTGTAATCATTTCAATCCACAGACAGAAGTTTTGAAACTGTAACGCCACTCCGTTCATAGAAAGAAGTCCGCCTGCGGAAACTGGCAGAAAAGGCGAGAGAGGTGAAGCTTAGATAAGGCCCAAAAAAATCCACGTTCTCTCTGAGCCCAGCATGTCTATAACTGTATTTATGGGCCCGAACCCGACGGATTTTATAGGTTGTTTGAATGACAGAAATCAGCAAGGAAGCATTTATTATATAATGAAACAGCATATTCATCAGGATAAACCATTTTTACACACTGTCCACTCGTCTCCTGCGCTGTTAGCCGTTTCTAATCGGTTATCTGTCCGTGTGTGTGAGTGTACCTGTGACTCTGCCTGTCTTGTAACGCCTGCTCCAGAGGGTGTCCACCCACTGTCTGGCTTTCCCATCCTCCACCTGGTTCCGACCTTTCCTCTGCCTTTTCGGATCACTTGCTAACACAGACTGCTTCCCTGTTACCGACAATATGTCAAAATAGCCTTGATCAACTGTTAACTTTTGTAAACCCTTTCTCACCTCATCATCATAGATATGAATGAAGTGATAATCCAAGTTGGAGTGTTTATAAGTAGTCTGCCGAGTTTACTGATAGATCACAGCGGAGTCTGACAGACTTTTTGGATAAGAGGAAAATCCGCTGGCATTTTCAGTTTCTGGCTAGTTAACTTATTTTCACACGACCTCATTCATGTCATAAGCAACACTGTAAGGAGTCATGAAGTGGTGAGTCAAATTATTTAGAGCACCTAAATTTTTTATTTTAAAATATCAATATTTGGCAGCAGCATTAAGATTATTGTATCAAACGGGTCAGGATGATGATATATCGCCGTATTGATGTTTTGTCCCTGCCCAAATGATTAAGTTTAGAAATGCTTTCCAAATTAACATAATGTAACATTATTGAATTAATTTATGAAGTGGCCATGAAATAAGCAGGATAATGTCCAACAAGCTGGTTGTCATAGAAACAGATGATGGCAGAAATCTCTGACTCTTAAGTATTTCAGAATCATTGCTGTGTCAGTCGTCTTTCTGAGTTTTCAGTCGCGTTCTTCTCCGCGTGTTTAAGAGTCACTGCATCATGTGTTTACTATAATAAGAGCCCATGATGTCACTGTAGAGCAGTGGTTTTCTGTATGACGTGCATTGAAGGCTTGATTAGTCCTGGATGTTTCAGACTATTGAAGAATGTTTGAGGGTCAGGTTCAAGGAGACTGACGTCAGTCTGTGCCCTTCAGCTCTTTGATCTGACGTCTTTTAATAGACGTGTTTATTCATATGAAGATGACATTAGATCCTGTCCTGCTGACATTACATGACTGTGGCTTCCTTCCCCACTCTCTCTCCCTGATTTCTGACTCTGTCCACTGTCCTATCTCTCAATTAAAGGCATAAAAAAGCCCAAAAATAAATCTTAAAAAAAAACAAAAATGATAGTATTATGAGGTTTGTTGTTTCCTCATTGGAGGAGTTACTGTGGCAGTGACGCAGAGAGACGACTGGAATCTTCAAAAAGTCTGCCTGGTTCATAAAGTAGGTGAAGTTGATTAACGCACGCGTGAAGTGCAACATGAAAAAAACACAAAACACAAGACAACAAGCAACGAAATACATGCCATAAAGCTTAGCAGTTATTGGGAAGCCAGCAGTGCAAGTTGTGTTTATTTGCAGTAAAACCAAACAAGAAAAATACTTTACACCATACCTGTATTTGAAACATATCCCCCCTGAATCCTAAAAAAATCACATATTTTTCACCACTGAATTGGCACCGATTAGTCTGAGTGTAGCTGATAGCGAATCTTACATCCGACGGACTAAAGCACGGCCGTTACAGCCGTTGAAACAGCTAAATGTACTCGTGCTGTGTGACAAAAGCATGGCTTATTTACATCTATTTTTCCGTATTTATTGCAACAAAAAAAATCAGCCTTATGTATGATGTGTGTATTCCAAATGCTCACATTGCGAGAAAACGATGAAATTGAGATGAATTGTGCAGCAGGACTAAGAAGTTCACCTTATGGACACAGCTGACATCTCGATAAATAGGTCTAATGTTTTCTTAAATAATTTGCTCTAGATTCTCAAAGTAGTGCACAGTCCATTATTTATTTCCCATAGAGATATTAAGTGGAGTGTGTCTTTCTCTAATAGGGTTGGCTGTAGTGTAAAACACTCTGTGTGTACACCTGTGTCATGGTCATGGAGAGATTTTTACACATGCACTGGTCCAAGTGTCACTGTGAAGAAGAAAGGCCATGTTATCAAGTTGATCATTATAATTACTGATTCAACATTCCAGATGTTTGCTGTATTTAGAGTAAGTGTTTCAATTAGGATTCTTACCTTTAAGGTGTTTGGGAGTTTGATTATATAACAGCAAAGTTTGAGCAATGAGAGTCTCCATGATCCAGTGACTATGTGACACCATAAAACCTGTCTGCTGATTATTTGTTAATCAATTTGAGCTCAGTCACGACTTGAAAAAACTTTGAAGCTTTGTGCTTTCACTCGGCTTCTTCAAGTCTTTCCTGGAGCACATCACAGGATCTGTGTGGTTAATATTCTCGGTACTAACACTGACCATAATCAGAGGTCTTGCATCCACATCCTCGCGCCATTCATTTACTTTATGATGTACATACACTACTCCCACCCAAAGGAGTATCTCTGAAAAGGTCTCTTTCTACAGCAAGGCATGCCGAATGGATGGAAAATCTTGTTTTTTTCCACTTAGGTCTGGAGCTCGGCATGTGCCATCACATGCTCCTGTGTGCTCTCCTCTCTGCGGTGCTTTTAGGTTGTGATGCTCCTTCTGACTGAGTCTGTGTGTGTTTCTTTGTGTACCGCCTAAAGACAAGATGACAAATGGTGATACCAGCCCTGCAGAGAGGAAGCAGGAGATTGAGAAGGAGAGGGAGCTTGAGGACGTCCCAGTGGGAGAAAATCACAGGTATTATATATTACCAGCACATCTGGTTCTAACCATGAATAATTGATTTTATACTGATAGACTCAACAAACACTGAAGGACAGCACTGATGTTTATCTACTTTGTTCTGTTCTTAATTTCTTTTAATGTTCCATCAAGTTGTACCTCACAGGACCCCTAAATGTTGTCAGAGGCACTGATCTTCGCTCTTTGGCATTTAAAAAAAGCCCCATAATCTTTAGAAACCATTTCCCCTTACTATTGTCTGGAATTCCCTCGAAGCAATATACGACAAAGGTGTTTCAAATACATTATTAAGGCTTAATACAAGTAAACGCCCCAAGCCCCATTGGTTCCTACTAAAGATCGAAATCTTTCAAAACTGATGACTCTTTAACTGGTTAGATAAAATCTTTATTTTTCTTTGTTCGTTTTGCCAAGTTGTTTCTCAATTTACATTTTGGAAAACGTCCAAAGAATCAGCTGAGGACTTCGTCTGGAGTTGCCTTTTCACCCATGAAGAACACAAGAGGACATTTTTGTGTTTAACACCTTTTCACCTTCTGGAAATAGTTTCAGTAGTTGAAGAGTGTAAAAGCTCTGTAAAAAGGGCAGCAGGTGGCATATAGAAAACCCAACTTTTTTTTTTTTTTTTTTTGCTGTAACATTAATCAATAATATTCTGCACAAATCAGTTAAAATCGGAGGCTAATAAACATGCAAGCAGAAAAGGGCACAAAGCAGCTGAACTTCTTGCTCCGTCATCAACACACCCATTCACTCTCATGGAAGTCTGCAGACAATGACCCGTTCTGTTCACACAAACAGACATCACTGTAGGGAGCTGACAGGGTCCGATCGGACATTTGCATTCTCACATGCATCTCCTACGGCTAATGTCAGGATCATTTCATGGTTCCAGTTTATGTGTGAAAACGGTTACAGAACATGACAGCAAAAAGAGAGCCAGGAAGGACATGACATGCAGAAAAGGGCCTGGGGTCCACTGCGGTCATATCGGGTTACAGGCACTACAAGGCGAGCGTATTGAAAGACCCACAGCTATGGTCAACTTTCTTTTTGTAGTACTGTTTGTTATATGTGGAAACAGCTGGTCATTGTCGTACTCAGCCAGAGCAAAAAATATATACTAGTTGTTTTTAAGGTTTATTTATGGGCTTTTTGTGCCTTTTATTGGAGAAACAGGACAGTGGATAGAGTGTGAAATCAGGGAGAGAGAGAGTGGGGAATAATGTGAGGGAAAGAAGCCACAGGTCGATATAGCATCTATACATGGGGCGCGCACACCAACCACTGCACTACCAGCGCCCCAAAATGAAAGTTGGGACTATTTATGCCATTGAGTAATCACATATCGATACAATATTTTGATAAAACTAAAAGTTCCTACCAGTAAATGAGCTCATTCATGTTTGTTTTTAGATTTGGGACTGTCTAAATGTTTTTCCTCCTCGTTGTGTGTTAGTGCTCCAAAGGCTCAGGAAGAGTCCACTTGAGTGTCCTTCATCCTTGAAGAAAAGAGAAGAAACTTGCTGCTCTACGTTTACAACTCGAGTCCAAACTGGGATCTCCTGCCTGGTTCCATCTGACGATTAATGATCGATCAATGGTTTCCAGTTTTACTGACTGACCGTCTGTACTGCTGCTTGAAGGTTTCAGTACATCAAACCCCTCCACTACCTAAGATAAAGAAAACTGACTGACATATTTTATTTTTTTACTTTGTGTAATCTTTAACTTTCAGACACCTTATCTTGCGTAATATTGTCTTCATTGTTCACAGAGACAGAGTTAGCACCTTTTGGTCCTATTGTATAACTGGAGTAGATGGGTTTTGGTTGTAATCAATCATTCCCAATGTCTTTTAGGCCGTTTTTGACTTTGACAGAATCGTTTAACGTAGTTGTAGTTAGATGCACCATTACCATGACAAGTAATATTCATTGCATCAACATATTTTTATTCACTTCAGATGCACAGACACTGAAAATTCAGAAGTTTGCCAAAGTTTGTCTTTCCACGTTTCCTCAGTCATGTTCACGTGTATTATTTCTTGAAGTTGTTTTTAACATAGATGTAAATAAGAGTATTTTTGTGTCTGTCTGAAGTCATTATCCTGGATCCTATAATAAAGTAGTACATGAAGTATTACATCTTTTGTCTTTAATCATTTTTGACGTTGTTTGCACAGAAATCATGATTGAAAAGAGAAACTCACATTGATATGAACACTTGTCTCTGCAAAGTTTAAAACGTAATCATCTTCTACATCAAGCTATTTTTGTATTAAGTTTAGATTGGTCAAGTGCAGAAATGACTGAACTGTTTCCCAAACAAGACGTGCATTAAGAAGGACCAATCAGGTTCACTCAGTAATCGTACTCTGAAGGACAGCTCTGAAGTGACAACAAGCTGAAGTTAAAACATTTCACATGATATACTTTGAATCTTTTCTTGTGCATGCTCTTCCTGGTTGTGTGTATCTATTTGAAAAAGGAAATGCACCAATCCAGATTGCTCTCCTGACTGTTGAACCCTGAAACAGTCTTGGGTGATGAATTTGGTACTCATCCGTTGAGCTCTATAAAAGACATCCACTGACACTGAAACTAAAATTTTAGTTCTTTTATTTATCAAAGGTGCACTATGGAGTCTTGATGGTCAAATGTTAAAAGTTGGAGAAGTGCGAAACAATTCTATGCTATCATTTCTGAACTGAATACACAAACTTAACTCGAAGATATTGGTCCCTTGAACTAAAAAGCTATCAGGAGAGTGACGGTTTCACTCTTGTGGACCCCCCACCATAACTTTTCTCGTAGCATTTTATCTTCAACGTGTTCCAGGGGCCACATTTTCCTCTGAGGACAGTTTGTGTATAGAGTTATGAACATATACCACAGAATCTGTACATTTCTCCAACTTTCACATTTCTCTACCAAAACATCTATTTCGTTTCAAAATTCAATCAGAATGCAAATGATTTCAAATCCATACCCTAGAAGTATGAGGATACCATTTATTGATAAACTAAATGATGAGATTTCTTTTTATTAAGCTTTTATTTCCGTCTTTAATACAAAATAATTACAACTGTATTAATACAAATAAAAGTTTACATGAAAAAATTCAAAGCCCGGGTAAATAAGACCAGAGTTAATGAACTTTATTTTAAACAACAACAACAAAAAAAGCCTGGTCATATTTTTGTCCTCAAACGGTTTCTCTTTTTAAAAGAAAATACAGACTTCCTAAATGACAATCAACATTTCTTTCTGAAATATTAAACATTTCACTGTATTATACAGCATTACCGGTAAATCAATGATCTGAGCACTTCCCCCCCCAAAAGACAAGCATTAGTTAAACGCGCCACGGTCCACATAGGGATAGGCCAGGAAATCTCCCAGCTTGTTGCCTTGAGCATCATAGTGCAACATCCGGAAGCACTTATCACAGTAGAGGCATGGGTCACTCGGAGCAAACTGGTCATTAGTAGTAAACCACCTGAAAATAAATCAGAATTTTTTAACATGAAGTCAGAGTTTTAACGGGGCCAAAGCTGTTAAAAACATTTTTTGTTGCACACCTTCCAATGAAGACGTGGCAAACTGCACACTTCTGGGTAATGAGCCTGTGCTTATGTGTGAGAAGTGGATACAGCTTCTTGTCCAGGCAGTCGTTCATATGTGCCAGTCTGTAAAAAGGGTAGAGAGAGAGAATACATAACGGTGACCATAACGCAGATTTGTCTCACATTTCAGATATTAAGAGAGGCTTTCATGAGTGGTTACAGTGCGTTAACAATAAGTCAGCTCATGGACGGATCCACTACTACGCATTTCCTGCTGCAATGAAACCAAGCAGCTCAGTCTTGTGAGAGCGCTCAAAGCCTGTCTGACAATGAGCAGCTTTATTTCAAATCTTGTCGTACTAATTCAACCATTTCGAAAGTGCAGAGCATTTCTCATCTTGAGACGAATCCCACTGCGAAATATAATAGCGCAGAAGTCGAGCTTGTAACGGTGGAGGATGAGAATCAGAATTAACTGGCTTAATACTCCAGGAACAGTAAGTATTCTAAGAAATTCATCAAATTCTTCTGTTTCTTACTGAGCTGGACTGAAATGGCGGGCTTAAACAGAGAGAAAGTGTTGAATACAAAAAGTAAAAACTCAACGTATGGTAAATGGCAGGTGACACCTAACCATTCACACACTGATGGCAGAGGTGACTATGTAAAGTGAAAACCAGAAGTAACTCATCCCATTCATACACATTCATACGACACCGACGATGGGGATAAGTGTCTTGTCCAAGGACGTATCGGACATGTTGCTGCAGGAGCTTGGGATCTAACCCTCAACCTTCTGGTTGAGAGACGTCCAACTCTACCAACTGAGCCACTGCCGCGCCAATGTAAAAACATGACAGGCACCTGAGAATAACCGTACAGAGCAGAATTCAGACTTAATGTGGACGATGTCAATGCCCCGCCCACTCGCTCTCGGTTTCTGGTCTGGACTAAAACCTGCTGCGTTCACACATCGGCTCACCTCGACCTCACACTGACATTTTACAAGGTCTGCTTAAGAGTCAGAGAACAGATTCGGCCCTTTACATTCACATATTTTCAGGTGTGCAGTGCATGTGTAGAAGAGTAACATTCATCACTCATTAGAGCATTAAGTCAGAGATTTGTGTTGTGTGAAAAGCAGCTAGGTGATGGAATCATCCAGCTGCTGATCAATAACACAGCATGTACCTGACATCCGTGATGATGACGAGGTGTTCGCAGTCTCCCTGATGACAGTACAGGTACGGGAAGCCCACTTTAACTTTCAGATCGGCAAATCTCGTGTCCTCCATTTTGGCCTGACTGTAAGGAGGGAAGTTGCGTGCCTTTGCCCATTCAATGGTAGTCCTGTATCGTGAACACAAAGTAAGCGCTTCATGAAAATATTATTTCGAAGAGAGTGTTTGTGGAAGTTACATTTTATCTCATCAAACTCATTTCCAGTAACTGGTTACATCCCCGGTTATAATCGTAAGAACAACAGAATTATTTTTCTCCTCACGCACTGAATCATCACATTTATGGATTTTTTTTTGGAGCTGTTTATTGGTAATCTGTCACATAACCTTCACAAAAACACTTTCTCAGAACAAGCTTTTCTGAGTACGAAGGGTCAAGTGAAAATGTTCTTCAAATACCGCAAACCACCATTTTTGGTTTGCTTAATAGCGAGGTTATTACATTCAATGTATCCTGATCCTGTCCTGAACAGGGATCACAAGGAGTCAATTAAAGTCCTCTCAAACCAAGATGTGTTGAATTACAGTTTCTTATCTTACTGTTTTTATGTAGTTAGTTTGGATTCCGGATGTTTCCAATCAAAATCACAATGATTAGATAAGGCCTGGTGTCAAAAAGTGCATTTAAGAAATCCTTTTTTATTTTGATATCAATTATGAAGTATTAAAAGATGTGTGAAGAGTAGGATTGGAAAATGGCGCCAGCTCTTAAGCAGATCCCATGGAGGTTGGTGCACAGATACTGAGAGGATCCTTTGGGAATTAACACAGCTGAGAAACCCTGTTTTCTGAGCTGAGATTATTATATCAATATTCATGGAAAAGTTTTCATAGGAAATAATTCTGCTTCTGCTTTGATACATAAGTGACAATGTTATCTAAGAGTTCTGAGAAGAGTTTTTAACGGGGAACTAAAAGGTCACTTTCACAGCTGGGACCAGCAGCTTCTTTTGACTCGACATAGGAGACTTCACTGTGCCTGGGGACGGAAAGGACTTTAGCGATGGTCCACTGTTCTTAGTTGGTGGTGTAATTTCCCATAATAGAGAATTTGGTCTTAAAACAAGTGCTGTGACTTTGCAACCCTGCCCTGGAGCAGGAAGACAAGCTCAAGGTCTCTGGGAGATGCAACAGGAAAACAGATTATTATGTGAACTATTCATCACATAAGCCTTTTTTTAATAATAATCTTCTAAAGAGCAAAATTATTTAATGAAAACTTTGCCCAGAATTTGAGTTTCAGTTTTCCACCTGTTTGCACCATAATAAGTTGTCATCTCTGTCACCTCTGTTGTGGCAGAAACATCTGGTTTATGTACAATGTCTTCCAAAGCAGAAACATTCAATCATTTGGACACACAAAAAGCATAGAAATGCTGAAGGAACACAGATCAAAATGTCATGCACGTCTTCAAAAAATGCATCCAAGAAACACATTTACTGAGAGAAATACAAAGATGGACACCCTAATGGCTACATCTGGAAAACGTAAGATTCTCTCCCTGAGTTCATAACTCATCATGTGACTGTTAAGTGTGATTGCTGTTGTCAGGCCTGTGTACATTAAAATCATGGCCTACCCGACGGTGTAAGTGTAAACTAGTGTGTTATTTCACACTGGTTGTTTCGAGGGTTCATACTTTAAAGTCTCACCATGTAAAAGAGTTTCAACCTTGTTCTGCTAAAATAATCATAAAAAGTGAATATATTATTAATTCAGTTATTATTCTTTACAAACTCAGAATGTAGTGTAGGAACAGATACATGATAAATGTAGCTTTAGTTTCATTTAAAATAAACAGACAAACGTGAGCGGTATGAATTGTTTCATTTGGGGTAAACCAGAACAAAATGGGGTGAATCAGTGAATTTCTAAAAATAATTTGAACTCAAATTAGCAGGCAGGACTGTCTTTCAGCCAAATAATCTGCAAAGGAGGTTTACCTCAGCAGCTAACTATAAGAAGAGGAGTTTGTTTTAACCAATCACTGGACCAATTAGTGGCGAAGACTCACGTGCTGATGTCCTGACACTCTGGGAATCGCATGTCGTTATAGAAAACTCCTTCAAAGAAAAAGAAAGCCGACTTGAAATGATCCTGAAACAGAAACCATGACAAAATGTTACCTCTCGCTTTTAGGATTTGTCTTGTGTACAAACATGTATTGAATCTGACCTTACAAAAAGTGGGTTTGTAATGTCAAAGTCAGCTGTATGTGAGCTTACTTTGCTGATGAAATCTGGAGCCATGTCCGGCGTGTTACTGAACTCTCCGCACACTTGCAGGTCGCTGACACAGCAGATTGCATCCTTGAGCTCTGCCAGGCTGTGGGTGC